CTGCTAGTCAGCACACGCCAAGTGTTCTTTCTCCTTGAAAGGTGAAAGCTACAACAGTGTCGAGGAGTTAAGAACTTACTGGAGTGTCCGTGGTTTGTTCAAGCACCCTCAACCGGAAGATGAATTTGGTCTGACTGACCTTTCGAAAAATGCCAAATGCTCAAACCAATTCTTGGTTTAATGAATATTGACAACCCACAAGGTCCTGAATGAGTGGGAATAGGTAATAGACACTGACAAATATGGAAGCAGATGAAGTGGCGACATCCGCAACAAGTCGGGCGAAGCAACTTACTTTGTACTTGATACGGCTGCGATCATGCCTGATCTAGCCGGCCTCGATGTTGTCACGAACCGTACCTCCACGCGTGAAGATCCGCGGTAGCAGATCTGGACAGCTCAACTCCCTCTCTATGCTAACGACGGAGACTGAATACCGAAGGTCCAAGAACCACCTCCATGTCTTGACGAACTGTGTCGAGCCAGGTTTTCAACTGACCCCGTCTTCGACGCCTCCCATGGGGCAACGGTGCCGGATCGAGGGCAATACCACTGAGCTCATGAGGCGGACGACGAAGAACATATCCGAACCACCTCAGTCGTCTTTCTTGGATGGCCTGAGTTATCCTTGCGATGTCGCAGCGGGCGCGGACTCTCTCATTTGAGACGAAGTCGATGAACTTCACTCGAAGGATGGTCCTCAAGCAGTGGTGGTCAAATGCCTCCAGTTCTCGCTCGTCCTCCACGCGCAAAGCCCAGCATTCACAGCCGTAGAGAAGGACAGACCGGACAGATGCACGGTACACGCGAATCTTAGTGGCGATGGAGAGGTCACGTCGGATCCATAGGCATTTCCGAAGGCTTGAGAAAACCCAGCGGGTAGCATCGATTCGGGAGACAATGTCGTCCTTACTCTGTCCATTAGACAGCAGCCTCGCCCCGAGGTATTTAAAACTGTCTGCTTCTTCACTTTGACAGCCATCAATCCCGAGGGGTGCCTTCTCCTGGTCAGGGATGCAGCTTGAAAACGCTTTAGTCTTCCCATCGTTTATGGATAAACCGACCGATTTAGCGACCTCGTTCACTCGTGACACCATAGACTGCAGATCACCAAGACTTGAAACAAGTGAGGCGATATCATCGGCACAGTCGAGATCAGTCAGTCGGTGTCCGGGTGCAAACTCAACACCGTCACCCTCGTGCAGTGCCTTCTCGAGGATCCAGTCAATAGCATAGTTGAACAGAATGGCTGACAGGATAGAACCCTGTCGAACGCCAGACCGAATACCGAACGGTTGGGAAAGATTGCTGCAACTTCCTCTGAGTGCCACCGACAAGGTCGGGGGTTCGGAAACGCCTATATCAGGTCTACCTAAACTCATCAGCCATCAATGCCTCGACCCGGACGCCAATGCAGGTGATGTGTGAAACCGAGCCAGTTGCTCACCCACCCGGCCGAGATCAGGATTATTCAGCGACGCGAGAAGGTCACTCCGCTATCTGTCCTGACCTGACCTCGGCAGGCTTGGCGTATCTAGGGTGAGTAAGCCAGGAATGTCCATTCCCACGCTGCTGTCTTCGCCGACACCACTTGTCCACTACTGGTCGCGTGCGTTCGGGGGCCTTCACCCGATCGCTGCCCCCCCCCATGCTTCCTCCCAACTATTCAGGTGGCCTGCGTGCATAAATGCTGAAACCCGTTTTCCAAGGAAGGAAGTTTCATTCCAAATAGAAGACGACAGTCCTACTTCAAGATACTCAGGCCATCCAAGAAAGACGACTGCGGTGGTTCGGGCATGTTCTTCATTGTCCACCTCAGGAGCTCGGTGTTACTGCCCTCGATCCGGCACCGTTGCCCTATTGGAAGCGTCGAAGACGGGGTCAGTTGAAAACCTGGCTGGATACAGTTCGTCAAGACATGGAGGTGGTTCTTGGACATTCGTTCTACGTCGTTGGCGAGGGGAATGGGTTGAGCTGTCCGGATCTGCTGCCGCGGATCGTCACGCATGGAGAGGTACAGTTCGTGACATCATGGAGTCCGTCTGGATCAGGCATGATCGCAGCCGTATCAAGTACAAGTACTGCACATGAGTTGAGGAAAAGAAGTACCTCAAGATACAGAATTCCGAAAGTTATTTCAGCTATATCGATCTTTATCGGCAAACGAGTCAGCGAAAGAAGATGAATGTACGCCAAGTTGACCGATGTGTTTCTTAGGGTTCACTAGACTGAAGGGAATCTAGGCCACGAGTTTAGGGCACAAATTTGCTGACGAGTTTATTAACAGGGTGTGGCACCATGGTATAAAAAGCACTAAAGTTCATTCGGATGCAACATAAATCAAGCAAAGTAGGCAGAATTGCACAACCATAAGTACTTTTACACTTCATGCACTGGCATCACGCGACTCATTTGTCAGCATCCGAGTCATGAGACAGCGCTATTCCGTCGAAGACAGGGCGATTCATTCCACATGGAATCCCAGCTTAAACTGGTATAGTTCCAACCCTTGTCCCTTCTGCTGCCAGTGGCGTGTGGTACTTGCGTCGACAAACCGCCTTCTCCTGAGGTCTGCCTTTCAAAGCGTTAATGCCCGTTATTAAACGCATCAGTAGCTCACGCCTGCTCTAAACGGTCATATGAATTTTGAACTATGCCTACTCAGCCCTCCCATGCACCCGTTATCGCTGCTTCAGGCACCGTCTCATTGGTTGTTCTCGCTTGCTGTGGCAACAGATCTGCGCAAGCTGCTGTTTCTGCTTGACCACGGTTCACCTGACAGGAATAGAACTGTTTTCTACTGCTACGAGTTCGAGAAAATTCGATTTTTCCGTCACACTTTGAGCACATAGACGCATTCTGAAGTACGTTCCTGTGGAGTCAAGTGGATCTTCACGTTCGTCTAAGCTCGAAAGGCGATATCTCAGTTCAGCTGGCTCTCCGTATACAGTAGATGTGCTAACTCATGAAATTTCAACCAAAATTTCGAAATGAGTTCTCGTTTCGAAAAGATAAATTAAGTAGTGTTGTAAAACTAATCATGCTGCAGCACAAATCTATAATGATCCAGTTACCTCAGGGTGTCGGCTTTCGAAAGAACTTATTTTCGGCTGCATGCAGGATCTATACTCTGCAAAAATGACAACTTACTTAGCGGGAAATTTTCTCATTGATTTTCGATGCCCTTGAAAATTCAATTATATTTCATGGAAAACATGCATAAAAATATTCATTCTTTTACTTATTCGGTAGAAAATGACGTCTTCTTCCAATTTCATACTCAAAAGAAGAGTATAATTCGGTTTTAAAAAAGTTTCTAATTGTGAGATTTTTTAATACTGTTGAATGGCCGTTCATGAAACGTCATGTATCTGCATTTACGAATGTGGCTTGCAAAGTTAACAATATTGCATGCATTTCTCTACGGTGTTAAGAGGAGACCATATGAGGTTCATAAAACTAAGCAGTGGATTTGAGCAATATTTTAACTTTGCAAGCCACATGACGTTTCATGAACGGCCATTTAACGGTTTTAAAAAATCTCACAACTAGAAACTTTTTTAAAACCGAATTATACTCTTCTTTTAAGTATGAAATTGGAAGAAGACGTCATTTTCTACCGAATAAGTAAAAGAATGAATATTTTTATGCATGTTTCCATGAAATATAATTGAATTTTAAAGGGCATCGAAAATCAATGAGAAACTTGCATGCTACATAAGTAGTCATTTTTTGCAGAGTATAGATCTTGCATGCAGCCAATAATAAGTTGTTACGACACCGACACTCTGAGGTAACTGCATCGTTATAGATTTATGCTGCATCATGATTAGTTTTACAACACTACTTAATTTGTCTTTTCGAAACGAGAACGCATTTCGAAATTTTGGTTGACATTTCATGAGTTAGCACATCTACTGTATGTCGAATGACTCCTTGCTGTTTCGGATTTTCTAGGACCTTTTCCTAATGCATGGGTTCATCGGAGAGTTCCCAGACTATTCCCAAACTTGCCAACTTGGGCATAAAAGGAACCAATAGAAGCGAAGAGACGAGTCCCAGGAAGCAGTCTTGAAGAAGGAGACAGGATCGCCGGGACAAGAGCTTTATTAGCCTGACGCTTCGGATTCCTGCTCGAACACATCATCAGAGACAAAAAATCAGATACGGGTGGTTCACACGCAAGGGGCTGCAGTCTTTATAGGATGCAGTCGCTATGCTACTGCATACTTATGAATGTTCACGGCTCCCCCCTCCCCCTTCATCAGGGATCGTTGCACTGTTTGATAGCCGACATTCGCGTCGTGACTTGCTGCAATCTCATCACGTGCGTTGGATGTTGGTGTGATGATTGCTCGACCATCTGAAGCACCGACCCTGGGGTTGGGAAAAGTGTTCACCTGGGCGCTTCCCGCGTGGCTAAGTACCCCGCCTAGGCGAAGTCTCAGCGCTGAGCATGGAAAAGGGAGGTCATTGCATAACGCTTCTTCGCATCTGACCTGAAAATGTAGCACAACATGAATACTACGTTGTCTTGAGCTTGAAGTGGATTTCGAGCACCGACAAATAGGCCGACGACAACCCGGAAAGTAACTTTCACGAACAGATGATTTATTCCAAAATCGACGGACTTCAACCATTTTTGGCTTTTACGAATGCCTAATGGAATTTAACTGACGGCTTCTGAGCTGGACGAGGTTTCGGCGCTGTATTCCAGGAATCTTTTTGGTAGAGGCCCTCACTGAGGGAGATGCAATGATGGTCTGACTTTCTCAAAACTCTGACACTACGACTTACATTTTGTTGAAGTTCGTAACACGGAATCGTCATCAGCAATCGGCGGGCGATCGACTCCCCACCGTCCCAAATGTTCGCGATGAATAGCTTCTTTTAACCTTAAATACCTTAAAGGCCATAGTGAGAAAGAGCCCTTTCGGCCTGCAGTTTTCACGAAAGAATGTGCCTACTTACATTTCTCCAAGGTCGTAGGCAGACGCTGGTGGCCGGAAAATCGTACCACATATACGTGGGCCGATGTTCCTATGTTTACTCTCTCAGTTGCCACGTGATTCAGATTCGGCCATCTGTTTCTCGGAACCGCGTCTATCGTCAGGTGCATGACGAAGTAAACATGTGAGACCTATCCGAGGAACATTAGCAGGGCGCTTTTGTCGTCATTGACACCAGACTGTCATCCGTAGCTTGGGTGGAGATGTGCGTAGTGGAGGGAGCGCCAGTTTCGATAAGACAGGCGGAGGTATTGAGCGTAGTCAGCTAAGATAACAAGAATGCGCGGGGAGCCCCGATGATATGTCAGTGCTTGACTCAATCGGGCGTGGCTTCGAGATTAAGCCTGGAGACTGCCGCATCCATTTCGGGGCATAATCTCTGATCGAGTACGTTGACATGCACGGTCGCCCACCCATGCAGCCTTCGGTCCGCCTAATCTCCCCTGTCGATTCCCCGCCTGGGGCGCGTCACTTAGCACCGGTTTGACGCCAGTCCACGACCTACCTCTCGTTGATTGGCTGCAGACGAACAAAGCCAAGGCGCTCACATGCAAGCATCCCGCGCCGGCTGTCACTCGCCTGATGAGAACACTTGCTGCCACTCCCTGTTGCGCTGGCCTCAGTAAAGGCTGCCTTCCCTGACTTTTGGCATGGGAATCTCCGAATTGAAAAGTCAATTGGCAGACATATGTTTTCGGGAATTCATCACCAATCCACTGCAGTTACATGGAGAGTGAATATGCGAGCCATTGACAGGTTTTATATGTGTCTCGATGGGCGGGAGGTAGGCTTAGTCACTGCCTCGTCTGTTGCCAGCACCCCTGGCAGAGGCTATCCGATTAACGAATCCAGCTCTTTGATGTCAAAAGACGATGGTACGAGCGGTCTGTCGTCCGTAGCCGAATACAGCTGGTGATCGCAGGCCGCCCCAACCCCCTACTGACGGTCGTGCGCAATCCGCGTGGTTGACCTACAGACACCGTTCACACCCTGCCCTCAATCCACCCCCCCCTTCCCCCAGTCTCAGCGACCACGACACGCGGGTGGTGGGGGGACATGGAATGTGACTAAACGTCCCCGCTCCCTTCAGAGACAAATAAACCCTGTTCATGGCTCTCATACTCACTGTAGTGGTCTGGTGATGAATTACCAAAAACAAGTTTGCCAAATGACTTTTCGTAGAATGTTTACGGAATGTTCGAGCTGTCGACCGACCTACCTTCGGCAGACGGTCCACAAGTAGGATCCCTTGCTATTTTCGGTTGGACGCGCTCTGATAAAATGTTACCTGTTGTGATCCTATATTGTAATATTGTAGTGGATTGGCTGTCCAAAGGGTCTGTAAGCGTGTGTTATTCCAGTATCAGCAAACCATGGCCCTCGCAGTGTGGTGTGCGCTGGCAGTTCTCTGGAATCTGGTTTCCCGCCGGTAGATTCGCTTGCGCTCCCTCTAGGTACGCAGATGGTAGCCATGGCTGTCCAATCGCCCTCGTCGTTTTGGCCCCTGTTCGGGTGTTGTTGTTGGCGAAAAATCCTGGTCATTTGCTGCGGACCAGGAGGTGTGGTGGCACGCCTAGTTGCGGCTCTGGCCACGCCAGCCACCTGCGCCCTCCCCGACCTCCGGTCTTCTTGAGTCTCTCTTGCCACCGGGTCCAGTTTGGGAGTGGAGAAGAGAGAGTGCGGTAGATGCTTTGCAAATCTACCATCACTATAAACTAACTCACGCACAAGTCACTGTCCCTGCTCCGCCTTGCTGTGGAGCACACGGTGGACATCGTCGAAACGGACGGTCGAACTTTCGGATTGGCACTGGTCAGGGAGCGTCGTCAATTCTTCATTGGCATGTCCGCATTGTATTCACTTCCATGTGATGTTTCTTGACAAACATCTGGGGTAGTGCTCCTGGAATTGATTGGGGAGGCTAGAATGGCCATTTCTGGCTTATTAGCCGTCGTCAGCTAGTCATTCCCAGTCCCGAAGGGTGGAACATCTGCAACTCGATTCTGCGACCTGCTCGTGTTTTTAGATAAAGACACGGGCAGCCAAACGGTCGGAAAAGTGAACACGAGGTTCACTGCATGTGCAACCAACTGGAAGAAGAGGAGGATATGGCTGCGTGAGTGTGTGCGCGACTGAAGGGTTGGAGATGGATGGGGGAGTTACATTTGGAGTCAGCGGAGATAAAGGACAAGGAAGTGAATGAAGTGGAGAGGCAGAGGGCAGTGAGGTGAAACGGCACATTCTCGGCCATGGTTCGGCAGTCCCTCACAGCAACACTGACCACGTCCTCTGTGCCTCTGCGAAGGACCCGTCCGGTCTTGGTGTCGCGTGAGAGTACTCGGAACGGTCCTTTGTAGCGCTCACACCGAACGAACGCGTGATCGCAGTCGATTCAGCTTCCCTCCACACAAGACTCAGTCAATGGAGTCTGCGGCCAGACGGGGGGACAGCGAACGCACAAACTGTCCGAGATCTCGCACAAAGTTGTTAGGACTCTTATTGTCCCTACGAGAAATCGGGACGGCCCTCTCTCCAGTCGAACACCAATTCGGCAGCGCTGCAGCCAAGCTCTGACTTCAGTGCCGGACAAGTGTTACGAAACGCCAAAGGCAGGTTGTCTGATCAGTTTGGTTGGTTCGACAGGACAGAGGGGACAGTCTTTTCTGTGCTGTTGAGGCGTTTCAACATGCCGTTTCTTGCGGGATGGTAAGCTGTCTTCCGAATGCTTGTGTAGTCAAGAAAGGCCAGGAGGGCTTCGAAGGGAGCGGCCTCGAACTGGACGCCTCGGTAGACGCAACCGTTGGTGAGACACCGAAAATGGCTACCCAGCGACCAACGAAAGCCTTGACGACGACGACGACGACGACGACGACGACGACGACGACGACGATATCCGCCTCCACTTTCGGTAGAGGGACGGCTTCAGCCAAGCGAGTGTGAAGATCGGCGCAGTTGAGATGAGTGTAACCATTGAGTGGATGCAAGAAGCTCACGACATCCAAATAGACATTGATAAGTCGTTCGTCGGAGATAGAGTTGGTGTCTGGTGGAAGTTTGTTATGACACCGCACCTTGTTCAGACAAAACCGTTCCAAGCTTTGACGTTCACTCTCATGTTTGGCCAAACAAAACTTTCAGCGAGGAGCTTTTGTCGTAAGCGCTAAAGACAGAACCGTCAATCCCAGACTGAATATCAGGATAAGACTAGAGTCATGAAAGAATTAACCATCAAAAGTCAAACGACCTGACAATCCAACTCATGCTAAGCGCGTCGCGTCAGGTTGTGTTCCTTCCATTCAATTAAACAACCAGTAATTTCAAGAATGAGGAACAGGTAGGGAAAGGCAAGATAGTCTGGCGCCTCAGCACACTTTTAGGCGGCTCGTATCTCCGGGTGGCAGAATCCTATAAGAGATTGAAAATCAGCTCCGCGCGTCGAGACGGACGCAAACGGGTGATGAGAAGTGGTCGGGGTGTCACAAAGGATTGCACCAGCACCAGTGGTCAGAGGAACATCTACGAGTTCCAGGCCACTGTGTGATGTGTGACAGTTTGACTGTCTATTTCGATTACGTCCGTCGTGTGCTTTGCAGCCAGGTGAGGGCAAGGACTATGAATAGTGCGTGAATTATTAGTAAGATGTGGGTTTGTAGCCCCACCTGATGTACACAATACTGTTGAAGTTGGGGTTAAGGGTTAGGGTTAGGGGTTAGGACAACAATTTATTAACCATTCAAATTACAAGCGCGGATTCCTAACAGCTATTCTTTTGCATACAGCTACTTGACCTCGTTGTCTGTGCGTTTCCCGGTCCCACCTGTAAAAATCTCTATTACCACCGGTCCCCTATTGGAGGTGACTGGGGTTTGTTTATTTCAGGTGGGGCTACATAACCACATCCGATCGAATTATTTTGTAGTTATAGTAGACTTGCACAACATCTACCACATTC